AACAGCTCATAGGCTGGACTTGGCCCACTGGATATGGTTTGACAACCAGCATTAGACCTGGCCACACTTACTGTTCACTCCTCCTATGCCCTCACCAAGTTTGCAATTAATTTAATTTTTAAAGCACTGACAATGCAGTCTAAAGTTGTAATTAAATGCTAAGTAGTCTCAGTTTGCTCCCTGTGGAGCCCTAGGCAGTGCCCAGGTATTACTGACAGGGCTAACTGTGTGGTTTTTCTGTAGCTAGCTATTGACCCTCTCATCCTGGCTTCCTTGTTAAACCATAAATGTCTGTCTTCATGTGCCTGTTCGAGTCATAACAAATCCCACATCAAAGGCACCAACTAACCAGAGTCTCTTCTTTAAATTAACCAAGTACAATGTAGCTCTGTCGCCTAGGTCACTGCCACTTCACCAGTACATAGGAGTCAGAACATCTGTCTTTTTCCCCATTAAGTTCATTGTCTGTTGTCTCACTTTGGTCAGAAGTCATATGAGGAAAATCTCCATCTTTTAAAAAGATAATTTCCTGCATGGTTTTAAAATAAATCTAAAAGCTTTTTGTTGTACTTGCATCCACGCCCCAGCGCTAACTCACCTGGGCAGTTTGGACGGTCACAGGTCCTAGATTCTGTTGCAGTGCATGCATAGCCACAGGACCGGGTTCGTTTCTGGTTACCATTCCCACAGGTGACGCTGCAGACAGACCAGAGACTCCAGTCACCCTCTCCATCTGTGGAATCTGGAAAGGAGCCAGGGAGATGGTCATCCACCTCATTCAAAAAGTCTCCACATTTCCCCCGCCAAACAGGCTGCCACTGTCTACTTCTAGTGTTCTCATGCTGGAGAGGAGCACATGCCAACCAGGCTGAAGGGCTTGCAGTTCTAGGACTCCCTGTAAGGCTCAGCTTTGTGAATAGTGGAGTGTGAGGCACCTGGTGATCAGTATGTGGGTAGGGCCTGAGCCCTGCAGTGTACCTAGGAAATGTTATTGAGAATACACACGTTCTTGGAGGCATGGTTCACAGGACAATAAGCTGGGAAATGTCTGCAAATGGCCATCATAACTTGCATCTATTCATTGAGAAGGAGCAGGAGAGGGAGAGAAAGGGAGGGACACAGAGGGAGGGAGACAGACAGAGATCAAGAGAGAGAGAGAGAGAAAGAGAGAGACAGACAGAGACAGAGACAGAGAGAAGTGGGGAGAGAGAGTGAGAGCTACAGAGAGACAGAAAGAGACAGAGATAGACAGAGAGAGGGAAAAGGAGAGAGAGAGAGAGAGAGAGAGAGAGAGAGAGAGAGAGAGAGAGAGAGAGAATGAACCTATTT